GGAGCCTTCCTCCACCCCCCCGGTCTTCCTCTCCCTCCACCTTTTTGGGGGATTTCTTTCTTCTCGTCGTGTTTTTTGGTTTTTTGGTGGTTTTTTGTTTTTGGGGGTTTTTTTTGCTGTTTCCAAAATTAAACCCGCTTCCCCTCCTGCCCCTTCCACCCCGCAGCCCTTGCCCCGTTGGAAAGGAAGTGCGAGATGCTGTTTTTGAGCAGAACTCAGATCAACAACCCAACCGCCGGGTGCAGCCAGCACCACCCCGGGCACCGGGGAGGGCACCCGGCCACCGCCATGGCACCCGAGGAGCTCTCCGGCTCGGCCGACTACGATTACCCACCGGTGACCAACGTGACGGGGAACCGGGAGGTCTTCTCCAGGTGGGAGGTCTTCTTCACCACCGTCTTCATCCCCGTCTTCTATTCCTTCATTTTCCTCCTCGGCCTCGTGGGGAACCTCTTCGTCATCGTGCTGATGGCCAAGAAGAGGCGGGGCAAGAGGATGGTGGACACCTTCGTGCTGAACTTGGCAGTGGCCGATGTCATCTTCGTCTGCACCTTGCCCTTCTGGGTGGTGGCGGGGGCGCGGGGCAACCGCTGGCCCCTCGGCGAAGGGCTCTGCAAGGTGAGCAGCTACGCCATCGCCGTCAACCGCTGCTCCAGCATCCTCTTCCTCACCGCCCTCAGCGTGGAGCGCTACCTGGTCATCAGGAAGGTGCTGGACACCAAGACGACGGGTTCCCAGCAGCACGTCCGCGTCACCTGCGGCGTCATCTGGGCAGCGTCCCTCCTTTTGGGCGCCCCGTCCCTGGTGTACCGGCGGCTGGACGGGGACGACTGCTGGGATGAAGATGGAGAGGACTTCAGCCTGGCCATGGTCTTCCTCACCTTCCTCCTGCCCTTGGGGGTCATCTCCTTCTGCTACTGCTCCATCTACTGTCGCCTCCAGCGCCACGTCCGGCTGGGCAGGGGCATCCGGCGGTCCCACCGCGCCATCGTCACCATCGTCGCAGCCTTCCTCTGCTCCTGGTTGCCCCTCAACGCCTGCAAGGTCCTGCTCTTCTTCCTCGCCAAGGGGACGCTGGTGCTGTCCCAGGGGCAGGAGGTGGCCCTGAGGTGGCTGGTGGCCGGCAGCACCTGCCTGGCCTTCGTTAACAGCTGCGTCAACCCCCTCGTCTACGCCCTCATGGACGGACGCTGCCGTCCCCGATGTCCTTTGGGTCCCCGCGCCCCGGGGGACGTGGCCGTCACCTCCTCCACCACCGACTCCAGTGTCCTCTTCGGCGGACGGATGCGGACCAGTTCCCCCCCGGTCCCCGGCGCAGGACCTGGCTCCAGCC